GTGAAACAAGTGGTAATATTTCAGCAGGCCTGAATCTTTCACCTGGAAATTGTCATTCACTTGTTTTGACACGACTTTCGAGTCGGTCCAACATATCAATCGTGTAGCCCCGATTTCTTGTGCGAGTCTCAATCCTGCCAATAGTGCCTCGTATTCGGCCTGGTTGTTTGACGCTTTAAACGCGAATCGTAAAGACTGTTCCAGGGTCACTCCTGTCGGTCCCTCAAGAATTATACCTGCGCCACTGCCTTGACTGTTTGACGAGCCATCCACGTGCATGGTCCACACGTCATTCTCGAAACGACCTTTCGGTTGCAATTCATTTACAAAATCAACCAAGTATTGAGACTTGACCGGACCTCATGGCTCAAAGCTGATATCAAACTCTGATAGCTCAACAGACCACGCCATCATCCGTCCTGCTAGTTTTGGCTTTCGCAACACCTTGGCTATCGGGCAATCAGTTCGGATAATGACACGATGGCTCTGAAAATATTGCTTGAGGCGCCGAGCGGTATGAATGAGCCCAAGCGCCATCTTCTCCAGAAGCTGATACCTGGTCTCGGCCTCCTGTAACATTCGACTGACGAAGTAGATAGGTTGTTGCTCCTCCTTTTCCTGAATCAGAACGGCGCTGATTGCGTCGTTTGATACGCACAAATAAACCACCATTGGTATCGCGGGATCGGGCTTGGAAAGAATGGGTGGCGAGCCGAGGCGCTCCTTCAAAGTCTTGAAAGCCTCCTCACAATTCTCAGACCATTCGAACTTTTTGATCTTCTTCAACAATCCTACAATGGGTTTGGCTACTTCGGCCAAACAGGGGATGAATCTTGATAGCGCAGTAAGGCGTCCTGCTAACCTCTGGACTTCCCTAAGGTTCTTGGGACTTACCATGTTGACGATTGCCATGCATTCAGCAGTCTTCACCACACGGTTGCGACCCTCCAGCCGCTCAACAACCTACGCCTTCTCCACTAAGGCCGGAAACTCAGTGATGGCCATAGGCACCACCACCCTT